ACTTATATAAGAACTTAAAAAGTTGATTTCATGAAAGTTGAGAATAAAATAGGGGATACCAAAGGCTAGGAAGAGTAGGAAGAACCAGGAGTGGGGAAAGAAAAATTTGATTAATGGATACTAAATTGCACTAAGTAGGAGTAAGAAATATTGGTGGGCTATTTTACAGCAGGTGACTATACATAAGACTAGGTGGGTACTTATATCTTAAAACTGTAGAAAAAGGGATTTTAAAAACGTTTTCACCATGAAGAAGTTATAACAGCTAAGTAAATATGTTTAACCTAATTCTACAATATATATCAAAAAATCACATATTACTCAAAGTAATATATACAAATATTATATCAGTTGAAAAAAATTAGGACAAAAACAATAGTCTTTTAAAAATTCAACTCTATTGTCCAAATTTCTCCATTTATTCATTCTAATTTATCAGACTTCTTGGCAGTTTTCATCTAATAAGCCATTGTCTTCTTGAAATAATCTTTTGTCTACCTAAACATCTTATTCTTTAATTTTCCTTCTGCTTCATTTGCCTTTACTTTTCAGGGAAGTTCCCAGGTCCTCCTCCTCTAGCAAATATCTAGGTATTAATAAATCCTGAGGTTTTATCCTAAAGTTTAGTTTCTTCTTTTTGAACTATTTACCATTAATTACATCAGTGTATACTGATTTAAGTATTTGATGCAATAGATGTAAAATAATGGGCAAACTTTTCATTCATTTTCTGACTGTACACTTTTTTGCACTGTGACTATATTCCATCAAGAGAACAAGTTTGTCTTTCCACTCCTTGTATCTGAGCTTAGTCATGTGACATTCTTTGACCAATGAATCATTCACAAACTTGATGCAGAGGCTTGAATGGTGTTGAACAGTGGGGTTAATCCTCTGACTACTGAGAATTCTTCCACCAACATGTGATAAAGTCATGACCAAACAGCATATCATAATCATACCAATAGCCAGAATAAACTACAAGATTAAGATTCATGAGTGAATCATGGACTGACTAGTCCCAGATAATTTGCCACTGATGGTTCTCCATGCAGGGTAACCACAGACTTTTAAACACAAAATCCCATAATTAAAATTTTGTCTTGAAACTTAGTCTTGAAGATTAAGCCCTGAAGCTTTCTTTTCTTTCATCCTTTAACACTATGAATTCTATTTTCAAAATATTTCTTAAGTATATCCAATTATTTCAGTGATCATGACTCTTAGTGTCTTTACCTGTCCCTGACTTTGAATAAGATATGCTAAACTGGCCTCTTTGTTTCCATTCCTGTTAATCTCCATGAGGCAACTGGAATAATTTTTAATAGAGTAGTTCTTTTAATTGACTTCCTTGAAGTGACTTGTTATATTAACAAATATTTTTCTCCATAAGTCATAAAAGATTGTTGTTAAGCTACTATCTATTAAACTTGAACATTTTTTCCCATTTTGAGGTATGATTATCAAGTCATTGATGCCCTTTCCAAACCTGTTTATGCAAATTTTGGGTTTAATAACATTTAATTACATATAAAAAGAAAATATGATTATAAATATGTTTTTATGGAAACAAGTCAATTGCTGTGGGAAGGCTGTTGTAAGTATAATGCTGAAATTTTGCTCTTTAATTACATCTGAGAGATAATTATTAATAATTATTAAAAATAATTGTAAAAATCCAGAACAAAATGGAATGCATTGCTATTTTAGTGTATTTTGATTTTTTGCTCCACTTTCAAGAAACTGAATTGGCAATCATAGGTGACTTATTGTGGATTGTGATTTATACATCAAAGTGTGAAAAACTCTAGTGAATGGCCTGTATTTGAAGAAAGAATATTGGCTGGGCTTTTTAGAATACATTGACCAATTCTATTATATTTATAGGTTTAAAAGGAAATATTTAAAGTTGTATTATCATTTCTATGATACTTGTTTTGTCTGTCTTTCAATTAATGTCTGACTCTCACCTCTAGTAGAAGATATCCTGCTATCCATAAACTGCACTACTTTATTTCCCGATTATAATCATTCAATCCTTCAGTGGATTATCACTAAAATGACAAATCCAATAGCTTCCAAGAGCCTTACAGACCAGACTGCAGCCATTTCTACAGATGCCTTTCATGTCATTCACTCCCACTCTCCCTCTATGCTCCAGGCACACTTGTCTAAGTGGTCTTTGAAGACACAAAGCTCTTTCTCACCTCGAGCCCTTCACATACAACTATATAGACCTGGTATGTTCTTTCTATCTCTTTGGTGTCCAGCTCAGTATTCCTCAGATCTCATTCTTAAATGAAAATTTTTATATAAGCCATTCCTGACTATCAGATCTAAAGTTGATGTCCCTTATTCTAGGTCATGGTAACTTTTGTTTCTTTCACTTCATTTACCATGTTTAAAAAGCTTTATATTTATTTATGTTTTAGTGAATGCCAATAAAAAAATCTCCATTATTTGAGAGTTGTCTGAAACAGTAGTAATCTTTGTGGCAAATGAACAAGAGAGGTCAGTGCCTTAATTTTCAAGACTGATTAAGAGAAGTGACTATCCAGTAAACTAGCCAGAAATTTAACAGTAGGCTTTGGGAATGAGATAGTCACAATGAGTGGAGATACACTGTTAGAGAAAGCAAAGGAAATCTTAGTTATTTTCATATCACTGCTTAAATGAGAGGGCATGTAAATAAACAGAAGAGACTGTATAATTTTTTGAACTTTGAATATGATCCTCAAAGAACACATGGTTCCATCTAAAAGCAAAGGGGAAAAGATGTACTACCTCAAAATGTTTGAGTACAACTTCTAGTTAACTATACTGATACAGGATTGATATCTTGGAAGCCAGGATCAAAACAAAATAAGATTTAAAAAAAATTGAGGCAACAGCATGGGTATACCACAGAGGAGAAAGTCTCCACACAAAAGTCACTAAACAAACAAGCATTGACAGTCCATGCAGAAGAATGAAAATCCAGAGTCGTTAAGACATACAAATATAATTTCTAGTTTCCAACAAAAATATGCAAAAGAATATGAAAGTATGTTTGTGTCCCTGGTGTTGGACTTAGCAAAGACTTCATAATAGCTATTATAATCATATCAAAAAACTAAAATGACCATATTTAAAAAATAAAGGAAAGTACAGCATCAATGATTCTTCACACATAAAAATTCTAATTAAACATAAGAAATGATTAAAAAATGAAAATTCTGGAGTTAAAAATTATAGTAACCAAAACAAATGATCAAAAATTCCTAAAGAGATTTTAAAAATTAACATGATTCATAATATCCAAAGACTGTAAACAATCCAAAGAGCCATCTATTGGTGAAGGAATAATGTATAATACATACATATAATGAATTATCATTCAGCAATAAAAAGGAAAATAGCATTCACATAGTTTACATGAATGAACTTCAAGCATATGTTATGTAAAGAATCAAGATGAAAAAGACCATATAGTACATGATTTCCTTCATATAAAATGTCCTTAAAACAAGCATTAGAAAACAGATTATTTATTGCCTAACATTGGGGGAGGGAGTCAAAACTGTTTACAAATGGGGATTAGAGTTCTTGTTTGATTAGAGTTCTTATCCTAAAATAGGGATAAAATATTAAAATCATTAAAAGTACACTCAAATGAGTGAATCAGGTTATGCTTAAGTTACACAGTCATAAAACAACTGAAAATACTGTTTCATACCAATATGAAAGGAAGGCTGTATTTGTTTTGTTTGTTTGCTTTTATCACTGTGACCAAAGTACCAGAAAATAATAATTTAAAGGAGGATAGTTTATTTTGGTTCACTTTCCAGAGGCTTCTATCTATAGTCAGCTGGCTTCACTGCTTTGAGACTTGTAGTGAGGTAGAGACATGATGGTTGATGTGGCAGAGGAAAGCTGTTCTCCTCTTAGTAGCCAGGAAGCAGAGAGAGTAAGGAAGGGGCTGGAGACAAGATATGTCTTTCTAGTGAACTCCTTCAGTGATCAACCAACTTCTTCCAGCTAGGATCCACTTCCTACTTTTTCCGCCACCTCCCGTTAATGTTATCAATTTATAAAACTCTCAGTGAATTAATCCACTGATGAAGTCACAGTCCCATAATACAATTACTTTCATAAAGTACTACCTCTGAAAATTGCTGCCCTTGGGGCCAAGCCTTCAACACATGAGCCTTTGGGGGACATTCAAGATCCAAACCATAACAAGAACTTCTCAGGATCAAGATGCATTACAAATACATTGCAATAATAATAACCATCATAGTATTAATGCATTGTGTATTTTGTCTTTATTATGTAGCATTATTTGAAGTCCTTAATTTATAATCATATTATATGTAACTTTCTAAGAAAGGAAATAAATAACATGGTACTAGTAAATGAATACATTCAGATTAAATAATTTTCTCAAGGGCGCTTACAGAGGTAGCTTGACCCTTCATTTAACAGACTCAACTGCTACTTTTTATAGTCTGTGTCTGTGTGTGTGTGTGTGTGTGTGAGAGAGAGAGAGAGAGTGAGAGAGAAGAGAGAGAGACAAAGAGAGAGAGATAAGATGTAAGATTTATACTGAAATACATACATCAAGTGCAATGCAATGCTATCATATATGTATTTTTACCTGCATAATTATTGGATAAATACATGTAAATAAAAGAATTGTAAAATGATCAATTCCTCAACAATTAAGATTTTCATATCTTATAAACCATTCCTAAGCTTCAATTTAGTAACAAAAATGGTCAGGCTGAAAGAATGGATCCCTTTCCTTTGTTTAACACATAAAAATTTTATAAAATGCTGATATTCTGACTTTAAATAAATTCATAAGCTTTATTATTGCCTATTAGAAGAGGTGTTTTGCTGACACAAAGATAAAATAAATTATTTATAATCAGCAAATCTTCATTGTGTAATAGTTTTCATACAGTGTTTATCCAAGGCAGGTTAAAAAAAAAAAAAAAAGATGCAGTGGAAAATCTTACCACACCAATGGAAAAGTAATTGTTGATGATACTGTAAGGCACTGGGTCTCCTTTCTCATCTTTGTCATTAGGTATGACTTCAAACTTCCATCTGTCCAACATGATTTCTGTGCTGGTTTCAATGTCTTTTAGGATTTTCATCAGATTCTCACCTTCATAACCTAATGAAAAAAAAAAAATATCTTGAGAAAAAAAGCTAAAAAGTAACAAAAGCTGTTATTTGTGTGTTTACATGTATTCATGGATATAAATTATTCTAAAGCTAAATAAGGCATTTAAAGTTAATTCTACCACCAAAGTAAGAATTAACTATAATCTTACCATAAGCATACCAAGATTTTCTTAGCTTTTATTTGTAACACATATTTCTGTTCTATGGTTCAAATTTTCAGTACACCCAATTGCCAAATGAACATTTCTGTTGTATATCCCCACAAAGGTTTCAATACATTCAAACCATCTTAGCTAGATATCACCCTCCACCCAGTTGCTGAACTTAGATGCCATTTTAGACTTTTCATTCCTCCTTTATTCTCTCCTATAGCAACAGAGGAATTTTAGTTTAAATAAAAAGATCCTGCTCTTTTTTGTTCATTGTATTTTTTTTCTGTCTATTCAGGTGCTCTTTGTCTCTTTAACTAGTTTCCTTCTATTCCTTCAGCATGATTTTGATAACACTTCTTTTTTGAAGCCACCCTTCTAAAATAACAGATCAGATGCCCTTCCTCTACAGTCCCACAGATGCAGGTCTCAACATCAGCCTTAGCTTAGAAGGGACACACTGCACTACTGTTATTTGTGTTTTCCTCACTACAAGCTCTGCTTGCTAAATCTTCATGAATCAATATTTTAATGAATTTGCTACACATGAACAAAAAGGCCCAAACAGACAGTGTTTGTCTAACAATTTTCTTAAGTTTATCTGTGGGTATATATTAGTAGTTAAAACTATAGCCTCATCTGCTGTGTTACTGTTTTTGTTTCTCCCTCAGTATTAGTTTCCTCTCCTGTCAAATCTAACCTTGGTTGGGAAGATAAAATGAGACATGGCATAAAAGAGACCTAAAACTTAAAATTTTTCAACAATATAATAACACTAAAGATAACATGAGAATTTGAAATGTTGTATTAAGTTAAACTCTCTTTTGTGCGTGTGTGCATATACACACACCCACATACATAAAATATACTTCAAAATAATATTTGAGTGGGCAAATATTTTTAATAGCTTTTTTTTGCACATTCAACTTTTGGCTTGTAACTTGTTAATTTACTTGTTAAACAAGAAAATATCAAAGATTATTTGTCCTCATTAGAGCTGTTAGCATACATATATTGAAAAAACTCAATGGGTTAAAAGGAAAAAAAAACAGGTACTCTCGTATGTCAATATTTTCTAAAACATAGTAAGTTATATTAAAAATGGATTTGCTTAATTATTTATAAGAAGATGAACACAGTCCCACACTAAAAATACTACTTTTGGAGACAACCATTAACTCTTACCTTTCAGAGATTTAAAAAATAATTATGAACCATTTTATGCATACAGCAAAAGTACAATGAACAATAATTACATAGAAAGTATTGACTATTTTTAAAAACATATGTCTGATGCAGTGGTACATCCCTAAAATTCCATCAATTCAAGATTCTGAGGCAGGAATGTCCCAAGTTTGAGGCCAGCCTTAGCAACTTAGCAAGACCCTGGCTAAAAAAAGGGGGGTCGGAGGTGTAACTCAGAAGTAAAACATCCCTGGGTTCAATCCCCAGTAACAAAAGAAAATAAAGATTACATATATATATT